AATACTGTAAAGTGTAGTGACTATATATTTTGTGGTCGAAACATCTCCTTCCATCTGATAATAAAACATCTCTTTATTAAAGAGAACTGCGTCCGTTATGTCTCTGGTACGATAGCGAGAGAGCTTTCGATGAAGACGACTGTTCGACCCATTCAATCTCATTCTTCTACAATACTCACCGTACTTTCCCATCATAGCTCAGGTTGAATGATAGTTTTTACAGTTTATAACTAGATGCAATAAGCAGGAGAGGAAAATGTATTTACATTAAAATACATTTGACAGCTTTTGACCCATCTATTTAATGGTCTTGTATATATTGTCCTTATGTTAGTCAACTACTGACAACAACAACAACAACAACAACAAATTACATGTATAGTGCCTTTCATTTTGGAACCATGTCCCAAAGGCGCTGGACAGTCAATGACTTGTACCTAAGCTTGGGGTTGGAATCAAGAGGGGAGAAGGAGAGGGGAGGTGGGACTGGGAAAGTGGCCAAAGGCACAGCTGAAGAGGAAGGTATTGAGACAGGCCTTGAAGGAGTCAAGTGAGGCGGTGAAGTGAAGGGAATCCGATCTGGAGTTCTGGAGAGTGGGGTTGGAAAAGCTATTCCTAACCACCAATGTTGGAGCAGGAGGGAAGGGGAACATGGAGCAGGCCAGTGCCTGCTGAGCGGAGGGAGTAGACAAGCTGGTATGGTGTTAATAGGCTGCAGAGATAGGGGGGAGCAAAACTGTGGAGGGATTTGAAAGTGAGGACAAGGATGTTAAACTCGATCCTCTGGGGGATGGGGAGCCAATGAAGCTGAGCGAAGATGGGAGTTTTGAAGATTTGGGAAGACTGGTGAGCAGGGAGCCTGGACATGATGTATGAGGGTCTCGGTGCCTGAGGGGAGAGGTAGTGGCAGAGGTGGGCAATGTTGCAGAGATGGGGGAAAGCAGTGTGGGTCATGGCATGGATGTGGGATTTAGAGGACAACAACAACAACAAGATTACATTTGTGTAGCGCCTTTCACGTCGGGAGGACAATTGAGGATCAATCAGGACTCCAAGGTTCCATATTGGCTCTGACATGGTTTGGGAATATAAATATTATAATCACCTCCAAGTCAATGAGGCAGAACATGTTCCTGGGGAATTTTCTTTCTTAATGCCCCTTATGAGAGGTTTCCATTTCTCATCACTGTTTCCTTAATAATATAATAATAATAGTTGCATTTGATATAGGCCTTTTTGTGTTGTTGAGATGTTTCAAAGTGCTTCACAGAATATATTGTAAAGTGGATTACTCTGTGTTTTGTGGGTGAAACTCAGCAGCCAATTGTGCATAGCAGTGTCCCAAGAACATATGTGGATTAAGTGACCACGTTTTTTTTAAGGGATTGTTACCCTCTGAAAGTAATCTGCCAATTGACTAACAATCAGGTTCCCACATACTGCTCCAAATCAGAGATGTATGGTGTAATGAAAGTTGTTTAAGATTTTGTCCCACCCGGGTCCTCTTGCTTGTGAGGCGAAAGTGCTAACCACTACACTACAGGACTCTCTTTCCAAATTGTTAATTGAGTTCTCAATCTAATGAGCTAATTTGCTATTAATTGCACAAGATATAACCTATTTCTTTAAAGTCTTGCACATTAAACTCAAATGACTTTAAAAAAAAGAGTAAATTGTATCTGTTGAATAGTCCTCATCATCCACCAGTTCAGTTACTTCCTCAAATAATTCATGAGACATGGCCTCCTGCTTTTGAATCCATTATAGCTGTATTCCTTATAGCTTCTGTATTCTTCATCGAGGTACTTCCCTAGACCAATGTGACTCAACCCCATCCCCAGAAGAGAACTTCCTCCTATATTAACCATTCTTGTGGTCTGCTTTTTTTTATATTAATTTGTGCTGGACAATTTATGCTCACATCCCCAGGAACACTTTGAGACAGCCTGAACTTATTTCACCTTGGACTTTTGTAGCTGTCACAGTGAGGGAAGTTTCATCTTGTTGTTCTGAGCTGGATTCAAATCTGGGTCCCGGAGGTAAAATGACCCATTGAATTATCCAGGCTTTCAAGACAACAAAACCTTTCAAACAAGAACTTTAATCTGCTGGTGACCTTATTCCTCATTCAGGAACTGGTAGACACCCTTAAGAAGAACAGAAACAAAAGCATCTGCATTAAAAATAGACGTAGTGGAACAATACTATCTGGGCAGAATCTGAATAGAGTTGATAGTAAATGAGTATCATGACAGTTAATTGTAACATATAGAGGGAAGATTTGAATGTTAAGCTTGTGGGAGAGCATTGATTCTTAGAGCAACAAGAGAAAATATAGGCTAGAGATCACAAGTCAACAGCAGCAAATCTTCAGTTATTATAAAATGTGAATCCGACAATCTGCAGTGATGGGATCAGCACAGGAGATTGTGAAATCCAAGTACAGGCTACATCCTAGAGAGTTGCTGAACTTAACTGAACTTGTGTTTTGTTGATGACAATACATGATCACTGTTTCTTGAAGGGATGGATGAATCCACTGGAAGCTTTTGTGAGAATTCACCTCGCCAGTACAGGATATCAAATTACATCCATACTAACACAATGTATGAATTAATATTGCTCAGGAATATCGTTTGTAGTCCTCTTAAATATAAATAACCAATGATGAATACTATATCACTGGCAAACAGTATATTTCTTTGCAGTTGCTAGACACATATGAAATCTTCTCAACATGTAGAGAAAAGTAATGAAAGCACAGAAAGAAAACCTTTAGCTCAAGATTCCTCCCATGTCTGTCTGAATGAAAGATTTAGGTTGACCTGAATATATAGTGAAACTAGGAATTGATCAAAGAATTCAGATCAACTAAAGATGGTCACATAGACTGCAGATAATTCAAATGGATTTCATAACTTAAGAAAAACAGAAACGATTCTCACAAAAAAGGTTGTTTTCTTCCAAATTGTTCTGTTAAATTGACAGCCAATATTTTGCAATGATAAATGAAAAAAAAGTTAAGAAAGGATCAAGAACTGTTTTGGTGAATTTTTACCTTTGTTCACAATAACCAATGCGAATTCCAATTCCATCCAGTCAAAATATGCTGAAATTATCTATATTACTTACAAATAAATCTTTCCCACATAAATATTTCAAGCATTAATAGCAGCATTTGGCCATCTCAATGCTGACTACAGAGTGGAAAAAGGCACTTGGAGAGAAATTAAATTGCTATAGAGATGGTCTGGCAGACTCTGTGTCTGGAATGAGGATCCAATAACATTACCTCTAATGTTAAAATCAATTTAACAGGTTGCTGTGCCACTGTAATCAACTTATTTTTTTTCACAGGGCTTCTTTGCATTCTCTTTCAGCTCTAAACCAATGGACCAACCAACCTGTCTCACTATTATGACAGCCAACAAAATAAAGGTCTCTTCTTTTGATTCCAAATATTGCTCCTCTTCTGACCGCTTGGATGATATAGTTCCAGGATCTTGACAAACCTATCAGATTTCTCTGGTAATGGCACAGGCAAGGATTACCCCAGCAGTAGCTTGTACTTCCCAGAAACTGTATGCTGAGTGTCCTGGCTTCCATTGGCATTGCTATACTTGAAAGCACATCCCTCAAAGTTGAATTTGATTTTATCAAGTTATAATGGGATAATTACCACGAGAGTGGTTTCCTACTCTCTGGATCTCCAACTCCGAGTCCCTGCAACTTATCCTTCTCTCATATCCTTCAAGACCTTTCTCTTTGACCACACCTTTGGTCATCTTCCCCCCCACCCACCTATACTTAGGTGCAAACCTTGGACTGTCCAGTGCCTTGGGACATCCTCCTGACGTGAAAGGAGCCATGCAAATGTCAATTTATCGTTGTTGCTATTGTCTGATTGTAGATTGTGCATTTATTGATTATTAATTCTATTAGAATCTTGTATTATCCACATCCCCAAGACATGTTATTGTCTTAAAATTAAAGTCACATTTTATTTGGAATAAACATTAATTCATTATTATAACTGTGTGCCTATTTCATTTCCAAATTGTTTTCTGTCTTCCCTTTCCAAAGCATTTGACTTTTTTCACTTCATTCAAATCCTATTTTACAGATTTTGAGCATCCAAGGGAGTCTTGACAAAGAGTGCCAGTAGATTGTTAAACCATGAAGTAGGGGAAGAGGGGAGAATGACAGAACAAACTCCAATCTGTCCCCATCTCCAACAGGTTGAGTAGATTTTCTATCTCTTTAACATAATGGGGTATAACAACAATAATAATGATGATCCTTACATTTGATATAGCGCCTTATCACTTTGAGATGTCTCAAAGCTCTTCACAGAATATACTGTAAAGTGAATTGATTGTATATTTTGTGGATGAAACGCGGCAGTCAATTACGCATGGCAGTGTCCCACACAGTCGTGGATTGAGTGACCAAATTATTATTATTTTTTTGGAAAGTAATCCACCAATCGACTAACAACTGGGTTCTTACTCACTGCTAGGTAAACAGAGGCGTGTGGAGTAAGGAAACTTGCCTAAGGTATCGTCCCGCCCGGGATTCAAACCTGGGCGTCTCACCACTTTTGAGGCGAGTGCTCTAACCACTACGCTATAGGTCTCCAATTGTAATCTCTGGGCTGAGATCAACTCACTCAGCATCATCCAGGCTCTGGATCTACTACGTTCTGATTTATATTGCATTAGGTGGTATCTTTCCCCACTAACTCCTGCCTACACTCTCTATTGGAAAAGTTTCTCTTTCCAGACGTAAATTATGAGTTGATGGAGTGACCTCTGATTGTGAATCAATGTCTGTTGCATTTATTTTGTTGTGACGTGCGCTAGTTGATACCAAATAAAATCCAAATGTACGCACAGGGAACAACCAGATTCTTGAAAAAACTGTGAACACTTTATTCAGGAAAGAAATAGAAACAGATGAAATCAAGGTTTAAATGGCAGAAACACCAACACTCGGAACTTGGTTCAATCATTCAGTTATCTAAATGCGTGCTTTAAATAATGGCAATTGTTGCCCAATTCCTGTTGATTTCCTGTGCAGCTAAACTGTAAGAACCATTACCTAAGACGAGTTGATATATGAATCTCCAGTTTCCTAGTACACTATTGATTACCAAGCGTTCCCATTAACCAGGGACATCTCTTTTACTGAGTGAACGACTGTACCTCATTGTCACAAGTGGGGTTACTCAGTAATCAATACCAGGAACTGTACAGACCAGTTCCTGGACCAGCACTCTCTGGACCGCTCCACTATAAGTAAAACGACGAGAAGGTTGCAACAAGCAAATATCACAATAGATAACAAGCATGGCAGCACCAGGCTTTTTTTGGGGGTGGGGCTGGAGTGATGAATAAGTAAGTGGAGCCAGTTCAACAAACGTCGACACATTTGAGTCATTTGAAGTCTAGTTGATTAATAGAGGGCCTCCAGCATCTATAGCAGGGACAGCAAAGAAAGAGTAAGAGAGGATTGTGATCTTAATGGTGTTTTACCATTTAAACTTCAATAGGCTTGCTTCACTGAACATTAAAGGGAGAAATGTCTATGCATAAAGCTGATTCTAGTGCTACTGATGTACTTCCAGGAAATTAAACTCTGTGTTACAATGTTTCTTTATGTGTCAGCCTCAGTTATACCAAACCTTGTTACACTCAGTTATAACAAAACCACTTTTGCAAATGGAAAAAAAATGATCACTTAACATTTATCATTTACTTCGCTTGATTATTTTTGTTAAAAAAAATCAGTAAAAAGAGTTTCTAAATCCCATGGTCATGTCACTGTCAAAAAGTCCCATATTTCACAATATTGTCCACGAGGTAAAAAATACAATTCCAGTTAACAGCAAGGACTTTTTCATGCCAGGAATACAGATTGCAAGTTCATGTTATCGTCTCCCTACGTATAATTCGCCTCTGGTGACACAATAGGATGCTCGACAGCATGTATTTTCTTCTGGTGCTGGATTTTCTGTTTATTTTTCCGTGACACCGCAGTGAGATGCGAAGATCCTCGATCACTGTGCTCAACATAAAACACTGGAGAATAAAAACAAAGTAGAAAGATTAACCAGATCAAATTCGTGCTGAATATACAATATGCTCTCATCCTTACTCATTTCCAGCATATTACCTCAAGTAATTTATATAGAAACCAATTCTGCACAAACATTCGACTTCCTAGCTAAAAAGATGCATTACTTTAATTTGTGAAATGACTTGAAATTCCACCCTTTTTTGTTTTACATTATAATTTCCTTTCTTTTCCAACCACTTAGTCACCCGTAACACTGCTAGCCTACTAAATGGGTGGGTAAGATGGTCCAGGAGATATCCATATAGACCCATGATTTTGGTCAATCTGTTAGAAGATATACAGATGATTCACCCGTTGGTCCTTGCTGGCCAAATTGCTCTCTTCCTATAGGTGACTGCTGAACATCATCAGCAGTCACCTGTAGCTCAGTGGTTAGAGCACTCGCTTTGTAAGCGAGAGACCTGAGTTCAATTCCAGGCAGGGGGAAACCTTGGGCAAGTTTCCTTACTCCACACGCCTAATAATAATCCCTCCAAAAACAATAATAAAAATTGGTCATTTTCAATCTACGACTGTTTGTGCTGTGTGCAATTGGGTGCCGCGTTCGCCCACAAATGTACAGTCAATTCACTTTACAGTATGTTCTGTGAAGCGCTTTGGGACGTCCTCCCAACATGAAAAGCGCTATATCAAATGCAAGGATTATTATTATTATTATTTATCATGGCTCAGGACAAGTTGAGTGTTAATGTTAGTCTGAACTGGAGCTTGTACTCGGTCCTTAAAATGGGAATCCAACCAGCAATATTACTTTGCGTTAAGAATAAATACTTTTTGGATACATTTTTAACTGTATTTATTATTACTTGAATATTTGCCAAAGTGTTCAAAGTGCTGAGACCTTGACATATTTTTCAGTGTCATCGTCAGTTATCAATTGAATGAAATGGGCTCCATTTCTTCAGTTGATTTACACCAGGATGTAATTAAGTGACTGGTGCAACCTTAAGTTAGGAGGTAGCTTTAGAACAGTAGATCCATAAGTCCTGGGTCACTCAAAAGCTAGTTAGGCTTTTGTATCATGTCTGTCATTGCTAAAACATGATTGTGACAAGGGTTGATAAAATTACATAAGAATGTTCAGTGTGCCAGGTGACCTTTAGAGATGCAGAAAGTTGAGTGACAGGGCTATTTGTGACCAGAATATTTCAGGCTGGTGCATTAAGCAATTGTGTTTCCTTTGAGCTTCAATTCACATTGATTCAATGTGGTTTCTGCATTAATTTCAAACTCCGTGACCCCATCTCCCCCACTCTCGCCCGACTCCACTGGCTCCCTATCCTTCAGAGAATCCAGTTCAAGATCCTGGTCCTCACATACAAAGCCCTCCATGGCCTCGCCCCACCCTACCTCTGCGACCTCCTAACCCCCTACCAACCTGCCCGCTCTCTCCACTCAGCCGGCTCCGGTCTGCTCCACGTCCCCCGACCCACCCGCCCCACCATTAGCGGGAGAGCTTTCAGCCACTTTGCCCCGAACCTCTGGAATTCCATCCCCCAATCATTCCACCTCGCCCCCTCCTTAGCCTCCTTCAAGTCCCGCCTCAAAACCCTCCTCTTCGACCATGCCATTGGTCACCCCCTTCCCCTCCCCTTCCTTCCCCCACCCCAATCCCAGCTCGGGTCTGAAATGCTGTACTTTGTCGAGCACCTTGGGACGTCCTCCCGACGTGAAAGGCACTATACAAATGTAATCTTGTTGTTGTTGTTGAACCGAGCAATGGAGCAATACAAATGTGGTTTTAAGGGCAGCAAATGGACTTTGACCGCGTTCCTGAAACCATAACTAGGAATTGATTTGGGAATTGAATAGATGCCATTGGTTACAATGAAAATATTATGGACAAATGTTCCTGGGCAGCCCAAGGGTTTTATTATTACAGGAGACCGCCATCATGGTTGACTCTTTAATAACATTAAAAATCAAATGCGACTGTGTGTCAGTTGGCAGAATTCTACAGGCCCTTTTGCAAAGCTCCCCCAGCATTAGGCGAGAACAAATCTGCACTGATAACATAAATCCGTTCACTGCTTCCAATACGTCAATACATGCCTGCATAATTTCAGAGAATTGTGAGGTTACTAATAATGTTTCAAATATTCAATTAAGTTACACTTTAAAACATGGAACTGTGAAAATATATCTGAACATTAAGACAAAGGCCTACTAACAATTGAAATCTTCAAGTCCCACCAAGAAAGGTTTGAGAGATGAGAACACAGCAACATAAGAATAGAATGGAAAAAAAACATTTATCCCATCAAAGCTGATTTCTCTAGTGTATTAACTTTCCATTGTGGAACCAGATTCTATATAGAAAAAGCAAATTATTTTGTTTCTATTAATTTTCTTGGCAGATTATTCCAAATATATATGACTCTGTCCTAAAATTTGCTTCTAATTAATTTCTATTCATGGGCTCTGATTCGTTTTAGACTTTCTTTTTCCAAATTTTATAATTTTACTGACAAGAATCCTGAAATTGCTAATGGCCTTAGCCGTAAAATTCAAAATTATGCTGAGTTTTTATAGACATGTATTTTAATAACACAAGATCGATGATGACTGCTTGTGTCAAATATTTCTGAGCCAGAACATTTGGATCTGCAATTTGACTTTGTCTTCATAAATGAGGACAGATGTGAAGATTCTGTTTAACAGCTGTTCCATTTCCATATCCTTTGCATCTTCCTAACATATCCCTTGAAAGGCCAATTGAGTTCATTTAAAAAAAAGGTTCCTCTTGCTCCAGTTTCTTACATCCTTTGTTGAATGCCCAGGGTACAGTTCTGAGTGTCGATTAGCTTGTCTTTATAAATCAAATGCTTCATGTGTAACCCAAACAGTGAATGTCGGCTATGTGACTGCAGGAATAATCAAAGCTTAGCTTGATCAATACCTCAGAGAACAACAACAAAAAATACACTTTGCTCTGGAGGTAGGGGATACTAGATACAGATCACGAGTGGAAACCATGTCTGCTCCATACCTATCCCCCTCCACCCCACCCATATATAAAGTTATGATGCAGAAATCCAACTACAAAATGAAGATTGAATTTAGGATTTTTTAAAAAATCTGCACAATTTTAAATTTTAAGGGAACGTTTTAGATGAATGGTTTTAAGACAATAGTTTGACAATGAATGGCTAAGAAACTTTCAGGCCTCTGGTCTGCAATGCGCACAGTTACACAATGTGCATCTTTGCCAACCATTAATAACATAGTTTAAAAACAGTTTTGCATTCCTCTTGCTCTTATGTGCAATATAATAATAAATAATAATAATAATAATACTCCTTGCATTTGATATTGCGCTTTTCACGTTGGGAGGATGTCCCAAAATGCTTCATGGAACACACTGTAAAGTGAATTGACTGTATATTTGTGGGCGAACGCGGCAGCCAATATGCTTTCCTATTGCTCTTTTATCTCTTCCATTATATAAATAATATAAATTATATAAATAATAATAATCCTTGTATTTGATATAGTGCTTTTCACATTAGGATGATATCTCAAAGTACTTCACAGTACTTTTCACTGTAAAATGTAGTGATTGTATATATTTGTAGGCAAACACAGCAGCCAATTCGCACTCAGCAATTTCCGCAAACAAGCATTTTGTGAGTGACCAATTTTATTTGGGGGATTGTTGGCCAGGACACGAGGAGAAACTCGCTTTTCTGTTCAAATAGAGCCATGGGATCTTTTAACATCTATCTGAACAGGCAGATGGGGGCCTTAGTTTAACCTCTTATTCGGAGGTCGGTGCTTCCAATAATGCGGTGTCATTGGAGTGTCATTATATACAAGGATGTACAAAGACCTGATATGGAACTTGAGTCCACGACTTTCTGACTCAGAATCGAGAGTACTACCAGCTGAGCCAGACTGACTTATTTTCAGATGATCTTTTCAATGTGCCTAGGTCTCACTACTTTTTGTTTTCTTGAACTTTCTCTAATATTTCTGTTTGGATTGGTTTTGATCTCTTCATTCAGTTTCTTCACAAACACAGATTGCTTTCAGTAATCACAATGACAACTGTAGCCACAGGCAGCTGCTAAGATGGTTGTTGATCATCTCACAGAGGATAGATCTTGCTACCAGATTGTAGTAAGAATTCCACCTGGGTGTATATTAATTCTATTAATGAAACACTTCAGAGTATCCAGAATTTGTCAAATTATTAAATAAGGTCTTTTAAAACCTGTTAGCTGTAAGTTTTTCTCAAGAATGGGCTTCAATGCTAAAACTGAATTCAACATTTACCAAATTCTGCACACTCTGAAATGCAACTTTAATAAGGATAAATCTAGATTCAGGTGAAATTCTCTTTCATGGCTATTACACTTAGAAAAATGTTAAATATCAGGCAGGAGATTTACAAATATGGCTCAGTGTACCAGCCTTGTGGTATAATCTTTGATCTTATAATGGAAAAAAAATTCAATCATGCTATCTTTTTGTGTTTTGAGTTTGTGCTGTCTCATCCTGTGTAGAATTTGAAATTGGGGAGCATCCTCCGAACGTTTTAAAGTCAGCCCATCATCATTGAGGTAACCTAGCTAAACTATTGAAAATCTCACATATGCATAGAGGTTTTGTTTGTCTCGAGTGGATTGCATACTCTCCCCCCAGGAAGATCTACTCTGTTTATCTAATCCCGGAAAATAAATGGTGCATGAGGCTACTGCTGGAGTTTAACTGTGCAGTGAATGCTGAATGGCAAGCGTCCTGCTGTTTGTCCAGGTAGGTCGACCATACCCATTACGGTTTTGTATGCAGGGTTAAGGTACAGATTATACAATTATTTGAATCTGCACAATGTATAGCCATTGATTCATTCCAGTCAAGTTATGAGATCAGTATGTGGCAATTTACAAAAAGATGCCCTTTTGCCATTAACTAACATGCAAAATTGGAAAGTCAGCCGGCA